AAATAGTTCAACTCAATCAAGTACAAGGTGTTCAAGGTTTTTATGTTTTCAAATTGCACATAATTCAAACATCTCTGTGAAGAGCACTGATGTGTTTTCTATGACATCTTAAAAAAAAATCTTAATTAAGGCCTCTAATATATTAGAATAAGATGAATTAAAAAATAAGCTTCTAGCTCTGGTAACAGGAGAAAAAAGAAACAAGTAGCTGAAGCCATTCGCTGTATTGTAATCTTTCCTGGGCAATGGAAACACCATACAGGAATGAGGGCCTATTTAGAAAGGCTAAATTATAAAAAACCATTAAGAGGGATGCATGAATGTCTGAGAGTCTTCTGAAACTTAGCTTACCTTAGGAAAACCATAACAGAAGTAAACAAACCGTTAACTCTTAACTCCTTCAGAAGGTCTCATTTCAAGTCGCAAGATTACAAGTAGTTCATGTCTAATAAGAGGCCTCATTTTTTGCAACCAAGATAACCATTTTGTGTGCAAATGTTCATTAATTGTATTCATTCCTCTTTATAAAGACACCCAAGAGGGTGTTACTTCTTACTGAAACTCAAATGAGGAACATAACACATGACACAGAAAAGCACATTTTAAGGCTGAGTTTCATACATCCTAATACACTTGACTACAGATTTAATTATCCAAAAATCATTTTCACAAATACAGTTTCTAAATGTTAAAACACATTTAGCTTTATTGCTATCTTATGTAAGGTCTTATTTGAAAAGACTAGTAATCAGATGTGTTTAATGAACTGTAGCTTCTCCGAACTATAACTTCAGCAGAAAATCCTATACCACAGAATATGTTTTTTAGAAAAAAGGGTGAAAGTACCTGGTGATTTCCTTACATTTCAGAACATGTTATTATTAATATAGACATTATACAGGTCTATACAGAAACACCTTCTTCGTTGTCTGCACAGGTATCTTTGAACAACATAATGCACTACTGCCAATGGCAGAATGCTGAAATATGACCAAATTAATAATACTTTTACAGAATCAGATAATGTTTATTTAATATCTGCTTCCATTAGCATTTCGAAAAGGAAGTAGTGAAAACAGATTATTGATTTCCCCAGAAAGGCCACAGCCCATGTTCACTTCCTTACTCAGAAATGCACAAAGAGCATCTTAAGTTACCAGTAAAAGCTGAGTTGACTTAAATCAATTCCTACTTTTCCTAAATCTGACACCAACATGCAAGACTTCCAGTAAAGGCTTTGCTACAAATATTGTGATTAGGACATGAAATCTTTTTCTCATTTAAAGATCAGATACAGCCCCGGAAAGAGACGAGACAGTGTGATCAATGCCTGAGTTTCCTCGGTCGGGCCACATACAGTAAACCCCAACGAAACGCGCATTTACACGAAAACACTAACAGCTTTCCTTAAATAAAATGTTGAAAAAAAATCCTCAGATGCAAAATCCTCAATCAAGTCTGAGTTGACTCGGTACAATCCAGTTGGGGCTTATGATCATGAATCACAAAGCACTGAAGTGAAAACCTCAGTCATCAGGGAACCAGAATCTGAACTAGCTACACAAGATTGAGACCCAGCCTCAAGAAAGAGAAGAATACATTTATTCCGCTTGGCTTTTATCTAAAAACACCAAACCTTCTCCACCAGTTCTGTGATTTAAGCATCTTAATGAGAAATGAAAGAGTGCATTAGATAGAATGGTGGCTTTTTTTTGCTTTGTAATGTATGAGAGTCCTTCCAGTCTGCTTTAGGGAAGGGCAAAAGCCTGAAGATTACTAGAGCAGGGCGGAAGTGAACAACAAGCAAAAAGTAGCCACATGCTTCTTCTTTCTTTGTTTAAATAAATAACTATTACAATATAACAAAAAAGAAATAACACATTTTTTCTTTGTGTTCACATTTGTTTAAGCTTCACTAGTTAGAGGTGAAGTTCATATCCACTCATCTGTAATGACTGTGTGCCTCAATAAATTCACAGCATCCTTTAACACATGCTTGATGTACAGTATTTAAACCAAAACATGAAAAAATGAAAATGAATTTCTACTGTATGCATATAAGAAGGCTAATAACTGAAATTAAAGTAATAAAAATATCACTGTACCAAGATCTATATTGTTGGATTTTTATAAAACACGTGTGTGTGATCCAGTCATTTTTCCTCATAATGAATTCCTAAACAGAAGTTCACTGAGCTGGCTGCACAACTATTCCATTAACATAGCCAAGATCGCAAGCTCCTTAAAAAAATAGCTTCTCATCAAAGGATTGGTGCTGCATTGCTGAGCTGCCAGTTCCCTGTAATCAGTTAGGGAAAGTATTTTAGGACCTACACTATAAGGAGAATTTTTTAAGCAGTTTTCATAATAACTTATGTGTAATAATTAATAAGCATGAAAAATATTTTCTAAAGGAAGGCAAAATCATGAAATAATTAAATAAAAAAGTATACATCATGTAAGAAATCTAAATGATGGGAAAAGACATACTGTACATCTACAATACATTAAGGATTAAAATAGGAATACAATCAAAACTGAAACAGAACAATGAATAATTTCATTTTCTGAATGCACACTCAGGTGCACTAAACCCTCCCGTCAAAACAACCTTCCAATATAATTAATTTATACTTCGACACCTTTCACAAATAGTGTTTAGTCTTTGTTACAGCTAACCACTGTAGACTTAAAGAAGTATATAAATTATGCAATGATTTTCAGACGTCTTTGATGAATATTTCTTTTATCAAATGTATCTGCGCAACAATGCGTGCTTATTCTTTTAATATGTAAAATATGGTTTTCAATAGTTCAGGCAACATTCTTCGTTTGCACATCATTATGCAAATGAATCCCACTGATAATGGAATGAAAGCAGCAGAGCTGCGTCTTTTTTATTTCCAGCAGCAGAGATGAACGCCAGGAGCGGGACCACAGAGCTGCCTGGGAAACGGCAGCGGTTACTCTGAATTAGACAAGCATGGGAAGGGGGGGAGAAAAAGGAAAAATCCTGAAAAGTACCAACCTTTTTAAAAATTCCATGTATTCTGCATGCTTGATTAACCCGGTCCTCATCATTATCGTCTGAAAACATTGTCGATCGATTGCCCATAGCTTCACATTGGCGAGAGCTGTAGAAAATACCAGTTAATTAATGAGAGATGCCTCCACCAAATACAACAAAACCATTTTATTCTACTGTTATTAATTGAAAAGGATATTAATATCCATATTCCATAGAAATTGGCAATACTGAAAAATTCTTTGAACCAGTGGAATTCTTTTTGCCTCAATACCATACTTATTTTTAAACAGCTGAGCATTATTTCATAATAATTACATAATATCATTTCACTTTATATTTTTAATAATTCGATACATAGGTTTGGTAATATTCATAATATTTATACATTTACAAGACCTAATAATATTTTTAATTATTCAATATTGTTTTAGTCCTTAATAAGAAGCGAAGTGATGGGGGGGGGTATCTTCTTAAATCACAGCGGCTCCAGTATATTTCATCGAAGCATCATTTCATATTGCACGAAAGACTGTCGGCCACAACTTGGTAACCATCATGCACATGTAACAGTTCTTTGGGTTTCTGCCCTTGCCAGTTCGTCCCTCACTTATCCATCGACCTCTGGGTGAGGGGACCAGCGCACCCCCGCTGCGGAGGGAGCGGCAAGGGCGGAAACCCCAAAGAACCATGATGATGGCGGCCCGTACAGGGATGGCCCTTCGCCAAGGACGGTGAACGAAGCAGGGGGAGAATGTAACGCATACGCCCCTGCGTGTAAGAGGGATCTCAGCCGCCTGGGCTGAGGGAGGTCTCCTTGAGCTCAGCCGGCAAGTTCCCTGTTGCGTGACGCCGGGGACCCGGGTTCGGGCCCAGGCAGTGAGGGACGAACTGGCGGAAACCCCAAGAACCGTGTCACACACAAATCTCAGATGCTTCAGTACTTGCAAAATTATATTTCTCCTTCTTCCCCAAAATGTTATTGCTCAGAGGTTGTGACTTCTAAGTGGCTATTCATGTATTGTTGAAAGTGAGAGACCACAGAGCTTTGCAGCATACAATAGAATACAGGTAAAAATACATATTCCTGTTTCTCCAGCAATCTGTAATAAATTCAACACATGCATTATGATACAAATTCTTACTTTTTGGTGAACTGACAGGACATTAACCATAAACTGAGTATATCCAACAAACATCTATTATTATCAACAGCACTGCCATCTTCAGCTGCATTGCACTGAAACTGAATGTTGCATAACACATAAATTGTTAGTTATAATTAAAAAATATTTTACCTCATAATAAGACCAACCAAACAAGTTTATTTCCACATGTCATGGAAAGGAATACTCCAAGCACTTAATGTGACATTTAGCTTTTAATTGTTTACTTAGAATCAGGACTGTGACAGTGGTAGCTACATCTGTGAACAAAAAATCTGAATCGGCACAATGACTAATTAGCATTTCCTAATCTACTTAACTGTCAGTTAAAATTAGAGACATAAATGAGAATATTAGAAGGGGCTGTGGGTAAAAGTCCATAAATTACATATGAAAAGCTTTTAGATCTCCTTACATATTCCCAGCAGGCAGTATTGATTGCAATATTTGCATAATTCCTATCACAACTTCTGTAATATTTATGGTGCATATTCTAGGGTATGCTCTATTTAAGTTTGATGATTTTTGTTTTTTTTTCAAGAATTTAGCTTCCCAATTTTGCTCCAGAGAAGCACACATCACAAGCAGCAGACCATTTCTCACAGCTCAATTCAAGTTACTCCAGAAATCCTCAGTTTGAGAGAAGCGCACAACACACTTTTCAGAGCCAATTTCCAAACATCTCTTTAAACTGAATTGAATCCAGCCAGAACACTAGAGAATAATGTGGTTTAGAGTTCCGATTTTATGTCCTATTTTAATAATTTTAATTACTAACCCTGAGCAAGAGGAGAGAACTATAGTGTGCTTTGATCTGAGCAACTGAACAAAACTGGTATGGGAAGTACCAAGGGAAACCAGGCAGCAGCTGTAAGTGGGTTTGGGGGACCAGTAGGTGGCACTCTCCCCTCTTGACCAGAATTCTAAAATGCCCCAGTATAGTTACCAAGGGCACTGTGCTGGAAAATGTACCATCCCTAGGATGAAACGTTAAACCAAGATCACTTTAAAAAGATATTTTAAGATCACTCGTACCTTCCAAAAGAGCAGGGGTGCCCCAGTATACAAGCCTAATTCAGCTCTGGATTGGCAAAACCTAGCCAATCTAAATTTTGATCTTAATTCAATTCAAATGGTAGTTTCTGCTTGACCTGATGATTCGTGATGCTGCTAGCACATTATGAGTGCCTTAGGTCACCCAGGGGTTTGCTGCACTTTAATAGTGGATAAAATGAGTACCTATTCAGTACTTGTGATTAGCAATACGATTAATCCTGTATGCACCTCCTACAGTCAGTGGCCAAAACAGTAACTCATTCTTTTACAGACAGTTTCTGTGAAACAAATCTAATGTATTACATATTATAATACATTCTAATGTATTACCTAATAACCTTTAGTTGTTTCATTTCAGAATATTCTATATTATTTCAAACTCTCATGATCCCATTATGTTTTTTTCATTAAATTTTCATGAGCAAATAGCCAGGCAATTATTTTAATTATATTTCTCCAGCTGACTACTTTTAAACCCCTGCCACAATGCCATACAGTATGTATGTCTCAGAAGAGAATGAACAAAACAATTTCAGTACATTTCCAGTTACATACTTAAGTTTTGCAACATTCATTTAAACACAGGTACATACAGTACACTGCATTTATGTATTTTTATATAATCTATTTACATTGCTATATTAAGTGTGCAAGAACCAAATGTCTCAAGACCCATCCCCTCTGACGGAGTGGAACATAAGAACTAATTTCTGAAGTCTTGAAATTGCTCATCACACAAATTATATATATTTTTAAAACACTCTGTGAGCCTCGTTCCATTCAAGTAAGAAAAAAAAATTACTGTCTTTCAAGTACTGGAACATCCTAAATCACATCTCTCATCTTCAGGTACATCATAATCAAGAAGCATTATCTGGTGCAAGTTAAGTCAGTCTCATCCATGTACAGTGCTTTGCCTTGTGAAAAACTCTCCAGTTCAGCCTGAAAGATGTTCATGCTTTGGCAGAGAATACTTTTTCTGCAGAACAAACATTCACCCATCATCTTTTTTCAAACAGCCAAAGAGAACCTTGCACAGTAAAATGGCTCACTGCTCAATGTAAATTCTTGTATCTCAACAGCTGGTGAGACCTCAAACTGCTCGACATATTAGGATTACCTTGATTCAGTTTACTTCAGAAGTCATATTTATCACTAGTTCTTGGCTGGTACATGAAAAAAATGTGTGTTCTCTTATGATAATTTGAAATTAAGACATATAGGATTTTGTGAGCTCATACATGAACATAATGAAGAAAAAAAGCTTTACAATGTCTTGGTACACATAGGAGATGACACACATCAAGAAAAGTGTTCTATATTGCATTATAAAAATTAAATTGCTGTGACAAAGCAAAATTAGTACTGTTCCCACATATTCCCACCAGTGCAGTTTTATGCATAATTTTAAGCACTAAATAATGAAACAGGTTGCACAGAGGAGGGAAATTCCATAATCCAACACATTATACTGTAGGTGTAGTGCTGCAGTTAAAAAATATAATTTTGTAGACAATCATAGTCAAGCTGTCACAAAAAAACCCAGACAGAAATTCAGAAGTTCAAACATATCCAGACTTCAGAAAAATATGATTGATCTCTGCATTCTACATGAATATAATCATTCTTCAGAAACATATTCCTCTGTCTTTACTTAAAACACAACAGAAAATCTCTTGGAAACCACATTCACTGAGAAAACCTGAAACCTGAGAAACCTGAATCTAATCAATTTCTCAATCTAGTGATTCTGAATAAAACGTCTAAAAGTCTGTCTTTAAAAAAGGTTGATTCGTTCTGGTTATTAGCAAAGAGTCTCTATTGTTTGATACCTATGAAAGAGCATTTCTAAATGCAGTTTTTATATTATACAGGTCCTATGCATTATTCAACAAAACAAGAAAAAAATTAATGAAAGGTTGTGCATGCAACTCAGCCAACCTGTCAAAATGAAATCTATTCACAGTTCCAGAAATGTAATGCAAAGTATGCAAAATTATCACTCAACATCTGTTTAAAATGGAGAAAAAAAATGTGACAGCAATTACAATAAAAATGTTAAAATATATCTACATTCAATTACAGAAAGACAATAAAAAGTTGAGATTCTTTATTCATGTCGATGCCACTTGACAATAAATCAGTTGCCAAATACAGTGTCAGTAAATCCACCTTGCATAGTTCTTCATGGAACGTTCCGGATAAATGAAGGAATGAAAACTGTTTTTACAAATGGATTCCTTGAGCAGTCATGCTGGAATGTTAAATCACTTTTTCATCTAGCAGTACAAACTGATCAGCATTTGGTGGAAACCATTAAAATATACAATGCCAAATGCTCCAAAGTCCCCCCAAAGTACATTTACAGTGCATACAAAAAGATAGGCAACCAACCTTCACATACCAAGCGCATATCCTGATATGTATACAGTATATACACAAATATTGTCCCTCCTAAATTGGATTTGCTTATGGATCATGCTGTGGAGTTAAAAGAGAAAGTATCTGTTTTTGACAATATCATTAGATTAAACATTTTGATTGCCATAATCAGAGAAAAACCTTCCCATGAAACAACATGCTTTTACTTGATCTTTGTACTGAACGAGACATCAAAGAATTTACTAGCACTTTACCTGACAGGGTTATGACTTTTCCTCTAAAGGAAAAAGCAGACCAAATTAAACTTGAACCAGCAACAAGGGAGGCTGGCAGAGTGCTTATCGCCTGACCATTCCTCCGGGCTTCAGGGTAAGAACAGAATAGTAGAGAAATTACTTAATAAAGTGAGCAGAGAATAGCATCTTTTTTCACTCTACTTTTTACACCTTTCTCATTAGCAGTAGTGCATCTTCTCTTCTGCTTTAACTAATACATCAATGGCTGG